TTACTTAGTGTTAGGGGCTATTTCCTTTTTATAGAATTTTATTCTACTAAAATTCTTTTCTTCTTATCTTAATAAAACAAAATCTAAAAAAAATAACTAAACACTTTAACAAAAGGAGTTAACATAATAAAGTACCAAATATTCAGTTTAATATGATATATGAATAAAGTTGATATTACGCGCTCCAAATCTACATCAATATCGGCCAGGAAATTGATAGAAAGATGCGACGACTTCTTTTTTGTGCTTGAAACAACTGTATAGGAAAAAAACCCTAAAGATGCGAAGGTTTCTTTGTTGTGTTTCAAACAAATAAACTTAGAAAAAGGGTTTTTCAGATCCCAACTATGAATCAAACAGAAAGCAAGAACTGGGAACATAGCTACTCAATCAATTTTTACCGAACAAGCTACACTTTTTCCTCTTTTTTTTACATGGGGTACAATAAAAATAAATAAACAAAAGGAACTTGGGATTTTTTTTTCGTTTTTTTTTTTTGTGAGAGCTCTTAGCCAACAAAACAATCAGGGCCACCACTTTCTTTTTTCTTTTTCTTAAGTAACACAAAAACCACCATAAAATCTTCAACGAAGCAAAAACTCTACGTCCGATTCAACATAGCAACTGAAAACGATATTGTACTCAATAGCCTTAGACTACAAAAAAATTAAAACATGCGAGATTTCAGTCCACAACACTTAACCTAAATAAGAAAAACATAAATCAAGGGAGAGCCTTGACTTGCTTGATTCAATAACCAAGAAATCCATAAATCAATCTTTTAATACCATATGTTATGAAATTTACCTAATAGAAGACGTTGAAGCAATCCCAAGACTTCGGATCCTTGCAAAAGATCTGAACCCACAAAATGTTCTAACAAAAAATGATGTATGAAGAATAACTTCATATTAAGACCTCACATAACCAACATGATTTGGTTTATCGATCAAAATGAAAAAAATAATATATGTTATGATAGTAATGTGAAAATCCCTAGGCCATTAGGGATTATTCTAAGTCATTATGATCACTACATTATTATTGTTATATATGACCTGAATATATTCAAAATGGTTCATTTGGCAAGTGTTGATATCAAGGACGATGGAAGATTGAAACCAAAGTTAGGCGTGCTTAAATCAAGTTAGCGGATATACGAGATCACCATGCTAAAATCATTGATCGAGGATGTTCGAGCTCAAGAAGAATCCAAAAAGGTGGACAAAGTTCTTTGGATAATTTATTTAAATTTGGAAAGTGCTAAAATTCATCCATGCGTGAGGCAGCTCGTTGAGCGACAAAGAAAGTCGATAGCAAGCATGGAGGGTCTGCCAAGCATCGCATCAGCCAACAACGAACTCGACAATGGATGCGTCGAGTTCTTCGTCGAGTCCATGAAGCCGACAACAAAGTCGACGGCTAAAGTTTCCAATTTTTGGAAATTTCCCGTTTGGATTTAAATTTGCTTTAAACTAGTTTTCTTTTATATATTTTCAACCAAAACAGATTAAAATAGGTTTTTTGATCTTTTACTAAATATTAAATAATTGTTACATGTGCAATTATTTAATTAGGAGATATTTTCCTTTTTAGAAAACTTCTAGTCTAAGAAATCTTAGTTAGAGTTCTAATAGGATTGGTACTCTATTTGGCCGACCTATAGCCCTATAAAAGGGGGTCTTGGCCGTGATTTTCAAAAGATTTTTGATGAATTATTATTCAATACAAATTTATGATGAAAACTCCTTGTTTCTTGACCTTTTGAGGTTATTTGGCATTTTGCAAGAACTAGGGTTTTGCATTAAGTAGCGAACATGCATCCAAGGGTAGTGTCCTTGTTGGTGGAGTTCTTTAGGTGTCATTGTAAGGGAGCACATATATCCATCATCATCATAATCTTTAGGCGGGGGTTGTTAGAGTCGTTACTCTTGGGGTTATATCAGTATCACTTTTTTCCTTTCCGATCTTTCCATCCTTTTGTTTCGAATTTTTGTGTTCTGAATCTCCTTTTGGTTCGTGTGTTTGTGGTTGTTTTAGTGTAAGAATTCAAGTCTTGGGGTTTACTTCTGCGTTCATAGGTAATTTTCATATCAATTTGACCTTAGAGCTTTCAATTCATTTAGAGCTGCTAATTCGGTCGGTTTGGCTCGGTTCAGGTGAATTAGGTTTGGGTTAATTGGTTTTTTCATTTTACTTCACCCTCCCGAAACCGAACCGAAATTTATGTTCCTCCAAACCGAATCGAGCCGAATACTCAATCGGGTTTTCGGTTCGGGGGTCAATTAAATCGAAATTTTACCAAGGAAAAAAATCACCAGAAAATAAAGTTTCAAGTTTCAATTTCAAACTTAAAACTGAAAAGATCACCATCAAAAAAAATAAATAAATAAACAACACACACAAATAAACTAGAAATTCATCTAGCTATTCAATGAGATTTAACTTAACAGACTATTGGTGGCTAGTGTTGTTCACTTAACAGCTACAATGCAAAACCCTTGAGATATTCGGGGTCCCGCTTCGCCCGCTCCTGGAACTTCTAAACCATAGGTCCAATATGTCCATTGGCACCACCAATTTACTCCCATTAACGCCACAGAATGATTGCATAAATTTGAACAAGTTCTCATCAACTTTCATTGCCAAACATTTGATTTTCTTCTCTGGTCACATCAAGGGATGGCAACAACAAGAGGTCCTCGACGGATACACCAATTTTGGCGGACAACAGAGTTGCATCAGCCGTGAGCTGCAATTGCCCACCGGGTTCCGGCCAAGGTCGAGAAAGAAACGCAGAAGAAATTGATGTAATTGCTCCACAGTAAAGGAAAGGGGAACCCGTGGATTGAATCTAATAGCAAATCAAGCACTGAATCTGGGGATTGGTAGAACTCCGGCGAGATCTACTTCTGCTCCAAGGAATCGACTTAGAACTTGGTAGATCTGATTTGTATTACTTGAAGAAATTGGTGGATTGTGATGGCAGAAAGTAGGAGGTGTGATAATGGCCATGGAGGTACAGGTGAGAGTGGGATTGTGGGTGGAAATCGATGACGGCGTTTGGTTGGAGGGCGATGGCATCAAAGAAACGAATGAGGAGAGGAGAAAACGGGGAGGAAAAAAAAAGAAAGACCTAAATCCTAAATCAGGTTGAGAGTATATATATGTAATAAAAAATAAATAATTAAAAATTAAATTAATCGGGTTATTCGAGCATCCCCGAAATATATTTCTTAAAACCGAAACCGAACTGCTTATGCTAATCAGTTGGTCGGGTGGAGCCAAAATGCACCCAATTAAACCTATTAGCTGACCCGATTAGCCCGATGAAGATCAGGTCGGGCGGTTTGTCGGGTTGGCCTGAATAACTAGCAGCCCTAAATTCATTGATTTCTTGCATGTTTTAGTTTTAATTAATCAAGGCTAATCTTTTGTTAATTATCCTTGTGTTCTTTGGTGTTTTTTTCATTAAAATATCGCATGCGTTGCTTTTTTGTGATTCGGCCATAGTGTTTGTTTAGAGAAAAAAAAATTGGTTTAATTAGATGCTTTTGGTATTCGGCCGTGAAGAAGAAAGAAAGTAGAAATCTGTTTGGCCATTGCTTTTGTTGATATTTGCCAGAAAAAAATTGAAATAAGAGTGTTGTTTGTTTGCTTTGTTTGATTCGCCCGTGTAGGCGAAAAAAAAAATAAAGGTGCAGCGGATCTATAACAAAAATACAGAAGGGGCCCTATATAATATGAAAATGTCAATGTGAAGAAATCTTTTTCTTCATTTAATATAACGATTGTTCATTTAGATTTTTACTTGTAATACAAAAAGAAAATTCACATTTTACATTAATTCAGGATGGAGGAGTCATATTTATGACAACCATTAAACTCAATATCATTTTAAGGGGAAAAAAAATGCTCAACATTCCCAAGAATTAATTGTTTTAAAATAAAACAATTTAAATTTATTCACGAGATGAGTCTTCATATTTTCATAGTGGTCTGATCATTTTGGTGGTCTATGTTTTTTTTTCTTTTGAGAGAAGGGAGAAGAAGAACTGTTTACCAAAAAAAAAAAGATGCAAAACGTGAATACTCAAAAACAAAATTATACTTAGATTAAGAAAAATTCATGGTCCAACAAAACATAATTAATCGCATAAAACTCAAGTAGACTTTGCTCTGAGTAAAAATAAAAACCAAAAAGATAAGGTAAAAAAACAAAACAAAAAAATAATACTATATATATGATCCCCACCCTGGATCCGCCAGTGGAGGTGCTTGTTTGGTTTCAAAATTTGAGGTGCTTGCGTGGTCATTTTTGTTTGATCTTCACGTGCAAAAGATTAGTAACAAGCAACTTGCTGATTGAGCTACATGTTTGGTGTGTTCTTTTGTTGCTGAATTTGGCCACGGAAAAGAGAGAGGTAGCAGCTTGATTAAAAAAAATAGATTGTACAAAAAAACAAGGAGATAGTACATTGTTGCTGCTTTTGATTCTTATCCAAATTGGGGTTTGGAAAAATTTCCTAAGAGTTATTGGTTTGGATATTAGGGTTTTGGAAAATTATAAACTCTAGAAAGCTTAGATTGGCTGAGAATTAGGGTTTAAGACTTACCACCTTAGTTCAAATATTTTCTTATATTTTGCTCCACAATTTGATCCTTTCTTTGCGAGGTTTCTTTTCATATTTGTGATATCAATAATATATTTCGTGTTCTTCATAGATTCAATACTGATATTTAGGATATCTTATCATGGTATTCTTGTTTGCGTGTTACTAGTGTTAGATCCTTGTTAGTAATCTCATTGCACAAAGGTTAAAGACTCAAGGACAGTGGTAAAACAAGAGTGAATTTTTCCCTATTTACTATATTCTAAACCTACCTGAGAGTTATTGGGAGAGTGTTAGTTTAGTAGGGAAGGGGTTTACATAAATGGAGTGAGTTCTTCTAAATCTTTTTCTTGTGTGTGTGTGTTGGCTTTAAAGATACATGAAGCCATGGTGAACAAAGAAGAAACACTTTCTTTGGTGGATGTGTCAAAAATCTTGGTAGCTTTGATGCAAATATCCATAAAAGTGGACCAACAAAATGAAGATCTTTATGAAATTCAAAGGAATGTTTTTCAAGGAGGGAATCGCATGGATAATGCTTGCCTTGGACAAAGAAAGGTACAATATGATTATGGTATTGATGGTGGTTTCCAACGGAGTAATTGCTACCAAGAATATGACTTTCAAGAAAGAGAAAGGATAAGAAGAATCCGATATTATGCGTCGATCGAAAAATATCGTGCACAAGAACATCAAGATCCCTTCATACCAAGTCAAGAAGCTATTGCCAAGACAATGATGATTAAAGAAAGAACAAGACTTTGTCAAGCTGAAGAATGGGAGTCTTAAGTCTACGAAATTGTTGGTGCTTGAAGATAAAAAACAAGCTCAAGCTAGAGCTATTGATTTACAAAGGCTTGAAGAGTCGCAACGTGCAAAAGAAAAAGAGCTTGAATTACAAAAGTTTGAGGAGTTGCAAAGTGCAAAAGAAAAAGAGCTTGAGTTACAGAGGCTTGAATTTGAAAAGAGAAGCAAGAATATGAAGAATAGAGACATGAATTTGAATATGAGATACAAGATTTGGTGATTGAACAAAATTATTCTAACCAACTTAATTCTTTCATTGTTTCTATTTCTTGTTCATAGCTTGAAATTATAGAAGAGCCTAAATCAATTCCTATAAAGTCTGAAATTTAATCACTTGAAGATGTTAAAGAAGAAGCATTGCATCCTTTGACATTGTTTCAGAAAGTTAAACACATTGACTTTGTGTTTGGTGATGTTTTTTCCAAGAGCGAATTGGTTTTCAATCCATTCAGCAATTCTGAAGTTTTTGTTGGCAATGTTCATATGTGAAGAAGCAAAGGAAGTCTTTGAAGAAATTGTTCCTCCAGAATTACATGCTGCAAGATTCAAGGACAAATCTTTTCAAAAAAAAAAGGGAGTGACGTGAAAATCCCTAGGTCATTAGGGACTATTCCAAGTCATGATGATTACTACATTATTATGGTTATACATGACTTGAATATATTCAAAATGGTTCATTTGACAAGTGTTAATATCAAAGATGATGGAAGATTGAAACCAAAATTAGGCGTGCTTAAATCAAGTCGGCGGAACTATGTGATCACCATGCTAAAATCATTGATCAAGGATGTTCAAGCTCAAGAAGAATCCGAAAAGGTGGACAAAGTTTCTTGGATAATTTATTTACCCTTGGAAAGTGTTGAAATTCATCCATGCTTCGGGCAGCTCGTTGAGTGACAAAGAAAGTTGACAGCAGCCATGGAGGGTTTGTCAAGCAACGCGTCGGCCAATAACGAAGTCGACAATGCTGCGTCGAGTCCTTCGTCGAGTCCATGAAGCCCGACAACAAAGTCGACAGCTAAAGTTTCCAATTTTTTTTTTAAGCAAAAAAGGCTAGGATTGTATTCAGGTTCCGACTGACCCAAAAATACTCAAGGGGTCTACCCAAGAGATATATTTTGAATCAGCAAGTGCCAGATGGTATAATGCACCCAAGAGATATACCCAAGAGATGGACATATATGCTATCTAGTTCCCTAGTCCCATACCCATCCTGGATTTTATTACTTCTGAATCAAATAAAGTGGCAGTTCATGGCTAACCACTTTTACATCAAAGAATCCGACTTCTAAAGTAGGGATAGGAATACTGGTCTAAAACCAATAATCCTTTTACATAACTTGGTAAAAGATGTAAAGAAGAATACAATTCAGAAGTACCAGAGGCTGTACTTTTAGCCAACCTATCAGCGATAGCATTAGCTTCTCTATATACATGAGTAATAGAAAAACGATTCCGTTGCATTATAAATGACATTTCTTGCATAAGAAAAACATACCTCCATGGAAAGCCGCTTCTTCCAGCTAGAGAATCTGTCAAAGTTTTATTATCTATTTGAACCACCACATTCTGAAGCCGCAGGTGATCACACTTGCGCAATCCAAATAAGACTCCAAACACTTCCGCCATATAACTGTCTCCTGCTCCAAGATAGCCACTCTCACCATATATAAAAGATCCCCCTTCACCCCTTATTACAAAACCGTAACCAGCCTCATTCAAACTAGAAGATCCATCAGTGTTAAGGATAAATGAATTGGCAAGAGGAGGATCGCATTTCACTTGCAAAACCCTAGGCAAAATTAATCTTCCAATACTTACATGAAAAACATTCGTAAAAAACCTTTTCTCAACATCATTATGAATTTTGAAATCATGTATCAATCAATAAACTCAGCACCTGTTCCATAATGAGACAAATCACCAAAGGGACATTTGGTTGTACATCTTCAAAGATTAGCTTGTTGCGATGCTTCCAAATCTCCCAAATAAGATGGCAATACTTTCCGCAAAGCCCCATAAGCCGTCTTCAAGTCTCCTTCTCACCACCATCTCCCAAGCATAGAGGCAATGGAAGCAACTCCAGCAATATTAACATGAAGCAAAGAGGAAAAATGCCTCCACATTCGGCTCGTAAAGGAGCAGCCAAAGAAACAATGAGGGATACTATCACCTCCTTCCCTACAAGCCAAGCAAATAGTCGGCATCAATTGTATTCCCATTTGGCTTAAAATTTCAGGGAAAGGTAATAATTTGTTGCGCAACTTCCACAAGAAGATTGAAACTCCCAAAGGAGCTACGGCATTCCAAATATTACGCGCCCAACCTTCTTCCTCCCTCCTTCTCCTAACATGTTCATAGGCCGACTTGACAGAAAAGTTCCTTGTTGTAGTATGCTGCCTTACCAACAACAAATCTTCTTCATCCAAAAAAAATCTTGATCATGGTCCGCAAGAAACCTCAATATTGCGTCAGAAAGAATATTGTTCAACAAAGGTAGAAATGCTTGCTTATTTTGAAATAATTCCCGAATAGTTAAATCCGAGGAATGCACATTTTCAATATCCCACAATACTCCGAAAGGTGACCAATTATCTTTCCAAAAAGAGCTTCCTCCACGTCGAATGATTACTTTGGTATGTTGAATTGCAGTAACCCTAATCTTTGGAACCCTCCTCCATGATGTTTTGTTTTTGGCCGTCCTAGACAATGAATGAATGAAGTTACTCCAAATGCCTTTATTCCTCTTCAGCTTCCACAATAATTTTGTAGTTAAGGCATCAATAATACCCTGGAAATTACGTATTCCAAGACCATTTTCAGAAACAGGATATGATAATCTCTCCCAACTGCGTGCCGAGTTCACCAAAAAAAAAATATTACTAGCTCGGATTGTGATTTTTGTAGATAATGGAAGCTAGGTCGATCCCACGAGGACAGCTAATTACCAAACTTGTTGTTAAAAGACTACCAGTCAGACAAGGTGTCACTCAGAGGAATAGAAATAGTCACTCGGGGGAATAAAAGCCAGGAGTGTTCATCTCCTCTTCCTACTGCCGTAGTTGTTAATCAGCACTGTGATGGTTGAGTTCTTGTTCATTCAGCTCACTTATAACTCTAAGTCAGTTTCCATTTTTCCTAGAGTCATCTTTGCAACCTTAACAATCTATTTTCCAATGATTGATTCCAGTTAAAAAGTCATTAAGTTCTCAGGCTTTCATGAATGCTTATGTTAACTAAGTATATTCCTATCTTAGTTAAAACCATAGACTATTACCTCTATGTCATAAGTTAAAGTTGAAACAATCCAAACCAAGTTTATCTTTCCAGATCTCCCTTAGTTCTAGCATGCATTCAATTTAGTGATCAAGTAAATGAATGTAGAAAAAGCTTTCAACTTCAAAACAAGGAACAGAACTAGTGCATTACAACAAGCACAACATAGGTTGAGGAGATTAACCCCTGGAAGCTGCTTAGCTACTCATGCAGATTAATGGTACATCTACTACATCAAAAGACATCATAGAAGTATGCATAATAAAACGAAGTTCAAGCTAACAGTCAAGAGACGAGAAAAAAGCTTGTGCAGTTCTGAGCCACTCCTGAGAGTGAAAGAGTTCACTCATGGAAATGAGGCAGAAACTGGGATGGCTGTTCTTCAACTTGGCTTCCTTACTGAGTTGTTGCTGCTCCTTCTTCCATCTTGCCTTCTTTTGGAGTTTTTCTGTGTGGTTTTTTTTGGCAACTGAAAGGGTAGCCAGAGATGTTTTCTTCTGAGAGTGAAGTTCCTCTTTTATAGAGCCTTGTTGCTGATTCTTTAATCAAGAGAGCCTCCCATGCTTGTGAATTGTTTAATCCTTCCTAGGCCTTGTGTCTGGAATCCAAAATTGACTAGTCTTCTTCTCTTCTTCCAGTAGTGGTAGCAGCAACCTCATTGATCAGCATGGGTGGCTGGAATTTCGGTTGAGAGACAAGCATGCCCCTTGGAATTCAAATGAAAGACATACTCATTAATTGGCAAGATGCTTTGTGTCTTGGGGGTACTTTTTCGACCAGCTCAACAAAAATTGTATCAGCAGCCCACAATTTGTTCCATTGGCCTCAATTTTCAGCAATTTTTCAATCAAGTTCTAACCTAATAAAAACACAAAGACTAGTTAAGTGAAATGCATTAATACTAGGAAATACCCCCAATTTCTTACTAAATTCAGAGTTAATTGTGATACTTTTATGTAATAAATAAACCATTATCAATCTCCAATGCCTTTTATTCTCTTCATTTGTACCACACCAAAAGAACCTTTGAAGCTTACGCTCCATCTCCACCAAAACATATTTTGGAGGTGGTATAGCCAAAAACACATGAATCGGAAGTGACACCAAGACACTCCTGATTAGAACCAGCCAACCTCCTTGACTCAACAATTTATTTTTCCAACTAAGAAGTCTCTTATCAATGCTATCAAGTAGAAACTGGAAAGTTGAACCTTTGCCCTTGATAGACCTTGCAACCCAAGTAACCAAAGGAAAGTGAACCCCGCTGAATGCCTAGCTTTCCTTGTATAATAGCCACTCGCCTTGGACTACATGTGTCAGAAACCTTAAATGTACTCTTCTCTCTACTTAACTTCTGGCCTGATGCTCATTCATAGTCAGAGAAGAAATCATTCAAAGCGCGCAAAGACCGTTTCAAACCCCGTGAAAAAATAATCACGTCATCTACAAATGCTAGGTGTGAAATAGTCAACGATCCAACCGGTGTACCATAACTTGCTACCCTTCCAGTAGAAACCAAGATTTTAGCCTTCTAGTCATAGCCTCTGACACTAGGATGGATAGATAAGGAGACAAAGGATCCCCTTGTTTGATGCCTCTAGAAGATTGGAAGAATCCAACCAGACTACCATTGATCATAACCGAAAACCATAAATTCCTGAGATTGTTCAACACCAGGGTACAAAATGAGTAGGAAACCCAAACTC